TATATATATATATATATATATATTATGTTGGTGTTCGGAAACAACCTCTCTACCTTATTAAAGGTAGGGGTACTACCCTCCCCAGATTACAATGGGTCTGTTGTTGTTATTGTATATACATAAATATAATTATACACTTTTTGATTAGCGAATACAATTAGTTTTGGCCGACTGGCTAATTTTGTATTTTACCCGCTCTATATCCCCATTTTCAAGGTCTAATGTTCGAGTTGCAACTGAATTCGAGTTGCAATAATCTCCTTCCTTAGAAAAGTGCACCTTACGCCGGCCATGATTGTGGATTGGCTTGGTCAATGGGCCAAAATTGGCTTGGTCAATGGGCCAAGGATATTACTGATGTACACAAATGGCCACTTTTTAGCCTTCAGAAGTTGGTCAGCATTTCATAAATAGACCAGCAGTATGAAGTTTGAAGAGGTCGCATGTCTAAAATTTAAAATTCAAAACTAACATTCAGACCGCGAGCTATTTTTTTTTTTTGAAAAATGGTCAACTTCTAAATACAAGGCCATAAAAGTGGCCACATTGTGTAAATAATACTACTATTTGTTTGGGACATGGTATAACCAATTCTAATCTAATATAGTGTCTATGTCCTAACCCTGCCTATTAACCATGGCCCTTCTATAAGATGGCTCAAGTCGTGACCCACGATAACCATGTACGAGCCCCGAGCGCGCGTCCTATTTGGTCACCCCCATTTAATATGTACCCATTTTTTTTTAATTTGTACCCACTGTTTAAACAACTTCAGGCTTTTTTCTCTTCTTCCTCCTCCTCCTCCTCCTCCTCCTCTTCTTCTTCTTCTTCTTCGGGTAACGATTTTATATGGTGTTTGTCAACATATTTAAGGTAGTTTATGATATTTACAGTGGCGAGCTGTTGTGGTGCTTATTTTTTACTATTGCTTATGGTTTCTTCTTTTTCTTAATTGCAAAATGGGTTCGTTAGATTTATTATTGATTTTGACAAATTGATGATTAAGGTTTGTTCTTGATGATATTTGGAGGTTATGTTTCAAATTTGAGTTCAATTGCAGTAGATTTAGGTATTAAATCGTATATTGTATTGTTAAAATTCGAAGAATAAATTTCTGTTTCTGGAAAATTTGCACTTCATGCGTATTTAGCTTTAAGTGCATGAAAACGTTTGTTGCACTTCAGACCTTTTGGACCTAAGTGCATCTGAAATGTAATTTTTTACTTCAGACTTATTGGCCTTAAGTGTAGGAAAACGTTTGCTGCACTTTAGACATTTTAGCTTAAAGTGCATCTGAAGTATAATTTTTTCACTTCAGACTTATTTAGCCTTAAGTGCATGAAACCATTGATTGCACTTCAGACCTATTTTGTATTAAGTGCATCTAAAGTGTAATTTTTTTACTTCAAACTAATTTTCTTTTAACTTCAGATCCGATAAGTCTGAAGTTGATCGTAAAATGTGTAGCTTGCAATTTTGTTTTTTTGCAAAATGGGTATATGTTCAATTGTAACCCCAAAATCGGGTATAGATGCAAAAGCCCCGTGAAACTTGTCCCTCATTTCATCGAGGAAAAAATATAATTGTGCAATATTTTAACAAAATTTACAAAAGTTTAGAAGTATGACTTAATTAACAAATGTGGCAGCTACATATTTACATTCCGCAACGTCATAAATAACTCTTTCTTACTTTTTCGCCCAACCCATTACTTTTTTCCTAATAACTGTATTCTTAAATTTTGGAAAAACTGAAAAAAAAAAAAAGGTCTCAAATAATGACTTACAAGACATGGGGTCATCTGCAATCTTATTCATAACTTTTAGCTTTTTTGAACTTTCATTTCGAAACTAAGATTGGAAGTCTATACAAGGTTGAATAGAGTCTAATTTTCAAGTGATAAATATAGAGCAAACTGTTATTATGTTGCCTTTTTGCTTGAAAGCGGGCATAGCCACTAGGAAGAAACATGTTCTTCTCGATCTACATTTGTGAAACAGTTTGTAATCTTAATTATTCAACTTGCTATGTGTGTTTAAGGAATGCAATTTATCACATTGTTAAATATTGATTTCCAACTTTATTCTCAAAAGTTCAGTTGAGACATTTTATCAAACACATCATAGATATTTTTTTAACATGGGTAATTTGACACTACAAAAATCACAAGAGGTTTAATTTAACACTACAGAAATCACAAGAGGTGTAAGATTGAAGAAGAACCTGTTTTGTTGCCGTCACTCTTTGCCCACAATAATATTTTGCTCAACAACTGATTTCGTTTTTCTCCTTGCAATTTGGTGGTGGTGGTGGTGTAGTAGTAGTTTGTAAATGGTTTAATCTTTTATTTTTCTTCATTCTCGCGCCAAAGAATCATTTCCATTGATCCGAAAATATTTTCCCAATCAAAATGAAACCCCAGCAAGATTTTTCGGATAGTTGATTTCTCTTTCCAACTTTGACACTAATCCAACAAGAGAATGTAGTTTAATCATGGTTTAGTCTAAATAAATTTTGATCCTTGGATCTGAAAGATGACATATGTCATTAAATTAGACATGTACTTATGAAAATGGAGAGACAGCCCAATCCCTCTTTTCGTCCCCAGTAGTACTTTAGTGTGACAAATAAATACTAAATTACATTGTAGTTGATCAGTTATGTATCATTTTCTTTTTAAGGAATTACATGAAGTTTATACTTAAGAAGGGAATAGTTTAACTTAGAAAAACACAGTCAAATAGGTACTGACAACTATACTAAAAGACTGCCTTACGAAATATGAACACAATGAAAAGCTTACTGAAACATATATCAGCTCGTTACAAGCTCAATAACCTTAAGTTTAAATTTGTAAGACACTTGAACGATTTGACTTCCCAAGAAAATGGGATTCACGTCAATTGATCTTTAAAATATCATTAAAGATTGAATTTCAAAATGTCGCAATCAGGTTGGTTTATAGAATTAAAGTTACTACATCTCTCATTTCTAAACTTACATATTGAGAAGTAATTGTCAAGCATGCTCATATCAAAATATAAATGCCATAGCAAATCTCCTAACTTCTCGCATCAATCAAGAGGCATGATCGAATCTTCTCAAATTCATCCTCATTTGTATCAACTTAATTCATAATCTTTGTTCATAAAAAGTAGAATAAATTCATATATTATTTTTCTGCTTTTACCTAATAGTAGCTGGTAATATAAAATCAAATTATACTCAAAGTTAATAAATTCCTAAAATTACTGAAGATAAGGGGGTATGTTAGATTAACTACCCGTGGCAATATTGTTTGACACAGTTGAGGTTCATAATTTTGATAGTTATATTGGTTTACGGTAACAAGCTACATTATAAGCAATATATTACAGAGCTACTTGAAGATTTGATTGCTGGAATTAAATGAAATTTATTTGTAGCTCAATTGTCATTCCGTTGCGTGGATTGACCATTCATAATTTTCTTAAAGTTAACGTGGTAGTGAATATTGATGAAGTAATGGATTATCCAGAAAATATAAGAAAGTGGTAAAAGTCATTTGACTAGTGAACCAAGTTGATGTTATACTGAAAGCAGGCACACTCACTACCTCGACTTGATATACATATACATATACATACATAATAATGTTTGCATGTGAATAGTTTATTTTTAAAAAAAAGATATGTATCTATTTATAAGTGAACCTATTATTACTAAGAAAATAATGAGTGTAGTGATAGTTCTGATCCCTTGTTAAAATCCTACATCTAACATCTGTCTATGTAAGTAAGCATGGTTTGGTGGGTGTGAGAAAGGGTGGTACTGGTAGGTAGCGCCGTAGCGGTATATATAAAGTCAAAAAAACAAAATGATAGGGGAAAAAATGGGATGCTGCTTTCATATATATATGGTCACGAGAATGTGGGCAGGAAACAGTTGGGACTTAGGATTGCTTTTTATGTTTTTTGCTTCTCTTCAATTAAGCCTTCCTTGTTGTTGTAGCATTCCCTCTGATATTCCCTCCAACATAATTCAGAATATGAAAAAGGAAAATGACTTTATTTGCTCCCTTTGAACTCGGGCAAAACACAGTCATGACCAAGTATATGTATCAATCAACAAAGTAGAAAAAGGCGCAACGATGTTCATTTTCAATTTTTTTTGGTTTTTTTCTTTATCTTTTTTAAGATTAGAGTTTACTATTTAGGCCACACTCAGGCAACATACAATGCCTTAATTCTATAAACAATACTCCAAAGCCAACATTATAGTTTATTGCTTGAAATTTTTTATTCATACTTCGTGTTTACGTTAAACCAATAAATGTAATGCATTTATACTAATATTCAATGGTAAATTATGATTAACTAGTATTTTTACTTTATGTATCACACAAGCATAATAAGTTAACATAGTTTAGAATAAACATCAAGTACATGTCCTTTTTTCTCATTATTCTTTTGTGGGAAACAAGTTGAATTCTGAACTTGGTCTTGCGATTCAAAAAAGGTAAATCAGTGAAAAATGGTTCTGGCATTGATTACAATATAATATGACTAAATGGTTTATACCTTCGACCATGAATTAATTTCTAGTTGAGAACAAAGTCCTTTTGTTGATTGTTGCGGTTTTGGTTTTTTCCTTGTGTATAGTCTCTTTAATTTTAGGTCCTCCTGCCCAAGCCGTGAATTGCGTGTTTCCTTTCTGTTATTTTTCCTTATCTTGACACTTTCAAAGTTGACCTATATATCTTCTGTGATTCTGTAATCTTCTTTAGGATTTCTATCTTTTTTTTTTCTTTCCCTAATTTGCAATGTATAAAAAGGAAAAAGAAAAAAATATCTCAGTAAGTTCTTCGAAATTGCGTATATGAGGAGGCTCCTTAGCCTTATAGGTTAGTTATATACATACAAGTAGCAAGCAACGTTTAGGGGCCCTTCTTTTTGAGGAGTCTCTTGTTCTATGTCCTTCAACTTAAACCTCAAAACTATCAGGACCTCTACTACCAATCTATTTTTTCCCTAGTCTAATTCAATAAATAAAATTAAAAAAAGGATGTTTCCATGACCAAAAGTATATTCAAAGTATTTGTGAGCAAAGAAAAGAAATGAAACACACAAAAATATAATTGGAACCATATTCAACTAGCTATTAAGTGTACAGTGAATGCAAGCAGAAATAAGACTGGAAGCCATGTATTGGTGAAAGAAGAGTTCCTCTACATATGAGTATATATATTTATGTACATTTGATGTTTTCTCATTTGACAGCAAGCTTGTTGGACAATCGTGCTTTCCATGAAGATAATAAGAAGAAAGACCAACAGCTGGCCCTACTTCGAGAAACCCCATTAATTAAGAATCGAAAACAAGAAAAGAAAAAAATGGAGTAACCAAGATAGTGACTAAGCGATTATTATATATCCCTATATTGAAAAGTCTGAAAAATTTACATACTTGTTCTTCCTAACCATCTAATCTGCAAACAAAATCTACCTAGTTAATTAAATTGGAAAAACTGAAAATACTCATGATCACCAGCAACTTCATCTTCATCTTCATAAGGGGGTAATTCATTAAGATCAAAATCCAGAATTCTACGTCCGCTGACTTCACCTGGTGAAGTCAATTGACTTGATGATGGACCAATTGGACTTCCCCATTGGCACCTTATATTTGTTGTGAAATTCTTGTTACCATTTTTTGAGCTGCTGGCATTGACTGGGTCAATCATACTATAACTTGTTCCTACATTGGAATTTTGAATTACCATTCTGAACTTGTTGTGGCTAGACCTATGCCCTCCTACTCCTACTCCTACTCCTACTCCTACTCCTAGTGCGTGATGAGTTGCAAAGCTTTTTTCGCAAGTGTTACACTTGTATTTGTCAGGCGGCGTAACAATAGCTGGGTTTTGGTCATTGACTAATGTAACTGGATTAGCAGCATCTTGTACTGAACCCAAAAACCTCAATTTCACCTTCTTTCTTCTCTTCTTGTTCTCGTTGACATGACTGGCTAATTCCTCATGAGCTTCAGTTTTGGACGAAACAGAATTGCTGTTCGTTATTTCCAATTCTTCTTCTGGAATTCCATGCTTATTATAATAGCAGCGGTCTCCAGTAAGGCCGGACTCGAGTGAATTTCCATTGGCTAGCAGCATAAGATGATGAACAACATCGTCCAATTGTTCCTTGTCGTCATTGGTTGCTTCAGCAATGGGCTTGCGGCCTCGTTTTGCAGTAACTGACCAACCAGGAACCGACTTAGATAAATCCCCAGAAATTGTAGCAGTAGCAGAAGCAGTTTTTGCATCAATCTCATCAGAAACCGACGATGATAAACAAGTGTTTTTATTGTTGACTGGAGGCTGAATTCCCCTCCATGCCCTTTCAGGATGGCACCTCATATGCCCAAACAACGATTTCATTGATGGGAAATTCTTACCACAGATTGAACAAGTTGGTGGTTGCAACTGATTGTTGTAATTTTCAAAATCTACTTGTCCATGCAGATCTTGCTGCTGTAATATTCGTTTCTTGTCAACCAGAGGTTTCAATCTTTTGCCCTTTTTAGCAGCCTGAACGTGAATTCTCATGTGACCCCCAAGTGCTTTACCAGAGCTAAACCCTTTGTTACACACATGACAAATCCTTCTACTATCATTATTTTTTGGAATCTCAACTTCGTCTTCGTCTTCATCGACCTGATCATACTCGTGATCTTCTACTGGAACTTGTCTGTGATCTTTTAACACGTCCTTCTCAGAAATCTTGAGCTTTATCCATAGTGTTTCGTTGCCAACTCGATGATCTTGATAATCAACCATTGGAAACAAAGGAAGAATTACCTCTGCGGGAGATAGACGGAGTATGTAACTTAGCTAGCTAGGCAACTAAGGTATATCGAAAACCCTAAAACAAAGGAACAATATTGGAGGAGGAGGTAACTTATTAGGTAAAAAGGAAACCTATAGCGAGAAAAGAGGGAAATTTGTCGTCAGCTCCAACAAGGAAAGATCATCACAACTTATTCTATCTCTGCACGGAAGATCCGATTGTGTGAGAAAAATTTGAGAAAATGGAGATAAAGAAGAGGAAGAAGAAGAGCAAGAGCGGAACTGCGGAAGGATTAGGAAGAGTCATTCTAAAACTGCTAATTATGTGGGAAATTGACTGTCACGTTCTCAACTGAGGCATTGACTGTGGGATAGGAAAAAAAGATATGTACATAGTTGTTATTAGTTTTTCAAAATTTTATTTTCTAGTTTGGTAATTAGAGCAATTGGGGGGCAAAAAGTTACTACTCCCTCATGTCCATTTTAATTAACTTTTTGATCATTTTGCTGTGATTCACAATATTTGATTTTTTCATGTATCAAGAAAGAATTAACTTCTTTTTTATAAGGTTGTCTTGGAGTGAAGAGTCTTGAAATATTTATTATATTTTCAATGAATAAATTAAGGGTAATATGATCAATTTTATTGTTAATTAATCCTAAAAGGTGGATTCGTTAATGTGGGTGAAAAACAACCAAAAAAATCAATTAATGGATCGCAGGAAATATAGTCTTATTTATTTAAAAAAAATCATTTTCCCAGTTTATTTAAATTACAGATTATTTTGTTTACTGAATATGTTTAAAATGGAAAGACATGGGATAAGCGATGGTGTGAAGTTGAAGATATTCGCAATCTTTTAAAATTTTGACAGCCAATTAAACCAAAAGAGTAGCCTAATCAAATGAAAACTTTCAAATTACTTTCGAATTTTCAGCGGTATATCTCATAGATATTCCCACTCATTTTGCTCAAATCTCAGCTAGCCAATTAAATGGCAAGTTTGTCAAGGAGTATGAGAGTTACCAAAACCCTTTTACAGAGATTTTAACCGTGCGCATTTAATATTTGTTTGAATGAGTAAATATAGTGAGTAATTACACTAATAAAGTGGTCATTTACTAGTTATATATGTTACTTTCACGCGTTTTTTCAATCTCAGCTTGCCGTGTTTCTGTGCAAATTTTATCCGATCATATTTCATGCCTCATGCGGCTACATTCACACCGGCCAGATCTGCATGCAAATCAATGCTATATCCTTTTTATATTTAAACAGCCTTTTTTTTTTATCACCACGAATCACAAATCTTCTTAATGAAAATAGATGATTTGAGCTTTTTAATCACCGAATCATGTTCCCATAAATTTGTTTGTAAAAAAACAAACTTTCTCTTTAAACTTGGATTTTAAATTCTCTATCTCAAAAAAACTTACTATGAAATGTTACTGTTGGGTAACTAAGCTTAAAAGAGTGGTGAATGAGAAATGGAGGGAAAAATAAAATTTTAATTTTTTCTCCTTGACAAAGGGACATTGTCCCATATTGGATGAGGAAAAGATTTTTGATGGGTATATATACAATTGCTCTTCTTCTACCTCTTAAAGAGTTAAGAAGAAGGCAAACCTCGCGCCGTCGTCGCTCGCTCGGCTTCGGTCAAATGATTGATTAATTAATATTTTGAACCAAATTTATTTGTTAATATTAAGATTAACATAATATTATTTTAATCCAAATTAGCTGTTTTTGTAATGGTAAATTAATTTTCCTCCGCGTTTTGATTTCCCGTTTTATTTTGCATAATGGCCATTTTACGTGAACAGTCATAACAGACATTCTGAAGAGTTGCACCTCTTCGTTTAAACTCAATATGTTGGCTATAAATAGCAAACCATTTCTTCAGATTTTCCATACGAAATTTCTGAATTCTCCTCTTCCTTTCTACATTATTTTCTTACAAAACAAATAACGTAAGTGTGATTTTCTACCGCTATTTATGTTCGTTGAAACACTGGGGTTTGAAGTACTGCTACACCAGTGTGTAATCCGTTCTATCCTGAGAGGAAACAATCCACAACCTCGGGTACTAGGAGGGGGTTAAGTTCCTTAAGGAAATAATATGAATTCAGTGGGATCAGATTAAACTCTGTTTCTTCTACATTTCTGTTTATACGTTATTTTTCCTTCTCCAGAATTATTTTACAAATACAGTATACTAACAGTTACTTCATCCAAACCCTCTAAATTATCAACCTTCCATTCTTTTTTTCTTACCCTCTAAATTAAAAACAAAATTATGCACACACGATTTACATAAGGAGAATATTGTATAAAGTAAAATATGCTATGCTACGTGGACGTCTAAAAGAGGGACACGTGGAATCTAAGACGGGGATATTTAAAACCGGAGGCAATTATCCCGTCTGTCACCGGAAAGAATGACATTCATAAAGATGCAATAAATACCCTCCGCCCGGTAGCATTTAATAGAGAATATTCCATAGTATTTAGTGTGATGCCCGTTACAGAGAATTTGTCATTTATGCTCACTGTTACACCTTCTTCAATGGCCCTCATAATTGACATTAAAGAAGAGCATGATCATAGGACCTAGTTCCTTATGTGCAGTTATAAATAGTGAGCTATATTATCATTGTAAATGACATGACTTTTCTGGCAAACTTACGCTATAATCGATTAAAAAACTTTATACAATTTTACTTTCTTGTTCCTTGGTTTCATCGTTGTTGTTCCCGGAAGCTCCGCCCCCCGGAATTACTGTTTTTCGTGATTTTACCTTCATTTCAAGGCTAAGTATTGCACATTTCTTTAATTATTTTATTATTTTATGATCAAATTAATTCACTTATCTAGAAATCACGTATAAATTCAACTGTACCATTTTACGGGTAAATAGTTTGGCGCCCACCTAGGGGCCTAGACAACCGTGTAATTGAGTTGATCCTTGCCTCTTTTACTAATATGTTTTGATTATTTGTCTTAGCAAAAAATCATAAGAAATGGCAGATAATGGTGTTAACAACACACACAATCCTAAGGTTCAAGGAGACCAGCCTCATCTCGAGGATTCAATCAGTAACACCCACAGTGAGGGAAACGATGCCACGCCGGTCCACGACAGGCAGTACCCACGACATGTTCTGGAGGTAACTCCCGATGATGCTGAAGAGGAACGTGTTGTTGATGCGGTAAGGGTCCTACAAGAGCAACAAGCGATCATTCTGGGCCACCTCACACGGCATGATAAGGTTATGACGGAGTTGAAGCGGGCGTTATCGGGGAGCTTCAAATAATGCGAACAGACGAGGTCCAGTTCCTCCCGGCGCTCCCATAAATCAAACAACACAGATGGCCGACGACAACACCTCGAGGGGTAAGGATGGTTCCGATGGGGCTAGGGGAGCGGATCCGGCCCTAATAATGAAAATGATCCCTTCAAGAATGAATTCTTACAGTTTATTAGAGAAGTGAACGCCTGCATGGACCAAATCCCGTGTGCACCACTGATGCTGAAAGGTCCGGACTTAAATAAGTATATTCAGTTGCCGTACAAACCAAGTGCGACACCAGAATTAATAACAAAGTGGTTTAAAATCCCAGACGTGCCAAAGTATGATGGAACTTCAGACCCTCAGGAGCATATTACCACCTATACAACGACGGTGAAGGGGAATGATTTAGCTCCTCACGAGATTGAATCTGTTTTGTTGAAGAAATTTGGAAAGACTCCCACGAGGGGAGCCTTGACATGGTATTCGTTGTTACCCGAGTATTCCATAGATTCCTTTGAGATGCTCACGGATTCTTTTATTAAGGCTCATGTCGAGGCCAGAAAAGTGCAGGCACGAAAGGCCAACATATTCAGAATTGCATAAGGAGAATCCGAGTTGCTGCGAGAGTTCGTTACCCGGTTCCAAAAGGAGAGGATGTTGCTCCCGGCTGTTCCGGATGAATGGGCGGCTGAAGCATTCACCAAGGGTCTGAATCTGAGAAGTTCATACGCTTCCCGAAAACTGAAGGAAAGCTTGCTTGAGTTTCAAGCAACGACTTGGGCAGATGTCCACAATCGGTACGAGTCAAAGATAAAGATCGAAGATGATCAGGTTGGCTTCCCGTTATCGACAAAAGGACGGGAAAAGAATAGAGAAAAATCAAAAGACAATTTTGACACAGACAAACAGTCTTCGAGGGGCCTGTTTTTTCCCTACGAATGGACCGAAGGCCGCGATGGAGCCTTCCGGTCAGCAGATAGGTTCGCCATCGACAGAAGTACTGATTGAGGTCGGAACAATAAATCATTGCAGGACAAAAAAGTGTCAGGCACACATGATCCTTCCTACCCCAGGCTATCAGAGTACAATTTCAACGTCAGTATAGTAGAGTTGGTATCAGCTATGGGAAACATCAAAGAAGCATGATTTTCGAAGCCGATGAGATCCGATCCCAGTCATAGGGATCCCAACTTGTGGTGTGAATACCACGGGACAAATATCCACTGGACTGAGGACTGCCGACATCTCCGGGAAGAAGTGGCGACACTACTGAATAATGTGCATCTTAGATAATTCTTAAGTGACCGGGCCAAGAACAACTACGGTCGCAACCGGGATAATGCAAAACCCTCGAAAGTAGGAGAAGATCCTTCGCGCCAGACGATTAACATGATCTTTGGGGGGAATGAGATCAATGGGGTCACCTTCTCGGCAGCAAAAAAGACGAAAGTATCGATAACCCATAGCAAGAGACTCCAGGAAGTTAGTGAAGACGACATCACTTTCACAGAAGAGGACGCATACAGATTGTTGCTGTCGCACAATGACACATTGGTAATTTCTTTAAATGTGCTAGACTTTTAAATCAAGCGTGTTCTAGTGGATCCAGGAAGTTTGGCCAATATCATACAATGGAGAGTATTGGAGCAAGATAAACTCACCGGAAGCATCATTCCAGCCACAAAACTCCTCGTCGGATTCAACCTTACGAGCGTGACAACCCAATGAGAGATTTTGTTGCCCACGAACGCTGAAGGGGTGATGAAAATGACTTTTTTTGAAGTGGTGGATGGTGATGTGGGATATAATATTATTCTGGGAAGACCATGGTTGCACGAGATAAGAGTTGTATCGTCAACGTATCATCAATTGCTGAAATTTCCAATGCCCGAAGAAATTAAACAGATAAGGGGCTACCAACAGGCGACAAGGGAGAAGAATGCAATTTCGGTCTCCAGTAGCAAAGGGAAGGAGCACGCGGCATAGCAACTATAGGAACCGGCGCCCGCTCCTGAATCGATTGAAGTTAGCCCGGGGGTAAAAGCGTTGGAATCTTATTAGGTGCCAAGGTATTTCCAGGTACCAGAAGAGACGGGTGCAACAAAATCCACTGCGGATGAGCTCGAGCAAGTTGCATTGTTTGAAGAGTTC